TCACCATGTAAGAGCTTGTTCGTTATGCTTCAGAAGATTGGAGACTGACGAGAATTAGGCTTGGGGTGGATTAATGATTGTACATTGAGCATTGAGTCCCCTATACAAAATTTTATTGTTGTTAACAACCATTTGATCAATAAACATGAGAGATGTCCTCTCAAAAAAAAAAGAGAAAACACTAAGATTATAGAAACAAAGACTCACTTATACCCAGTAGCCTATGTAAAGGCAATGCCGGGATTGTAATGTCTGTCTGCTACCGCACCACCTGAGTTTCCATATGGTTTATGGGCAGGTTTATTTTTAAAAAGAAGAGAGAGAAAGAAACAGAGTTTCATTATGACTTCACAATTCTAGTCCTAAGGGGCCTGAGTTGTAATAAGGTCCATGACATGAGAAAAAACTCAACTTCCAAATGAAAATGTCAACACATAGCCCGAGTGAAATAATTAAATAGTTTACGTATTTCCAGGCCTCATCATTTGACCACTGCAAATACTTCTATTGAAGTCATCTCTCATGGAAAGAATGCTTCCCTTCTCACAGGATGTTGAACAATTACCCCAGATTAGAGTATTGCTCTCACAGTTCCCTAAGCACGTAATCATGTGTGCTGATGAAAACGCAACACAGTGTACTGGTTGGTCTTTTTTAACATAAGAAAGAAAAGATACAAACCCATACCCACGCAAGAAGCAACAGATTTCTTTTCACCGTTCCACAATATCCTAACATTCCAACAATGATAAGGAAACAGCAAACAGCAATCATGACTGGATGAACCACAGGGAAGTAAGTCAAGATGACAGCCTCCTCTACCCTGAAAGAAGAACAATAATGTCATATTATAGGTAAACTAAAATCAAAACGCCTTTGCCTCAGGAAACCACCAGGGACCCTCCCCTCCTTCCCAGCTGAGAACAATCTCCCTCTTCTTCCCTGACCTGGGTCTCCACGTACAGCACTTCCTTCCCAACAACTGATCCTTCCCTAAAACGTGAAAGACTTCAATATGAAGGGAAATTGGTCCATATTAAAAGAAAGAGGATGGCAGAGAGAAATGATTTTTGCTGGAAAATTATGGAAAAATCATTAACTAGAACAATGAAAGAAGAACCATAATACTAAGGGTAATAATAATGACAACAAAAAAGGACTAAGTGCTTACTAAGCTCCATTGTGTTAAGGATTTTACAAAACCATACTCAAGACATTTCAGAGTAGTATATGTTGCCATCCCCATTCAGAGATGAGGAAATTGAGGCTGGGAGAAGTTTAGTAATTTGCCCCGTATGATGTTAGGGGATCAACCTTTGCAATTTGAGAAGAAAATGGCATTGCTGGGTTTTGATTTCCTTAGTTCAGGAACATGAAAGTTAGAAAGTTGGCAGTGATTTTCTTAGAGAGAAGTAGCTAGGCTGTCCTTTATACACAAATGTGATATGGCTGACATATTGTCAGGAGGACAGGCAGCTGGTATTCCCACACCCAGAATGTTCTCTGGGATAAGATGCATGCCTTAATGAGAATGTGAGAAAATGCAAGCGTCTGCAACAAAGGTTGCCATGGGCAAGAAAAACTTTCCAAAGGATCCTGAAAGAGCACTACTACCTAAACAACTAAGGACAAAGTTGCTTAGAAACCAGCATCTGAGGAAGCTGATGAAAGGTGTAATCATTAATTATGAAGCCTACCTTGTCTCTGCAGTTAAAGTCAGAACATTATTTAGGTAGTCCCTCATCCAAGCAGAAACTGCCAACACACTGATGGACATTAGCTGGGGAGAAAAAAATACAAATTGGTTACCAGCACTGTAGGCAACGTTCTCAGTAGGATTAATAATTTATTAAGAAATTTCATCACATTAAGAAAATCAAGAATTTTCATCACATTATTGTTATGAGTTTTCCTAATGACCATTTAGGATCTGTTGAAATTTACTGTTACTATAAATATCTGCCATTCCATTTTGTAATCTTGTCATAGCCACTAAACAGAGTGTCACAAAATAGAATACAGATGGCTACACTATGAAATGGCTGATTCCAGGTTCAAATAGGAATTGAACTGTGCAAGGCAAAGTGGCCACAGAACACTAATTTTTTCAAGTGTGTAAGATGAGCTAAAACATGTCAGACATAAAAGCACGGAAGTGATCAAATACTATGAATGTCAAAGCAGGTAACTTGAAAGGGCTTCCACTGGCTAACGTTCAAACAATTTGAGCATCAAAATAATAGTAATAATACAATGAATGCAACTGTTTGAAACATCAAATATACTAAATGTATGAATTCATAAGAATAACTAAAACTTACTTGTCTGGATACTCAGTGTTCAGAAGAGAATCCAGTATTTATCCTACTTTTCCTATACAGACTAAAGAAAGAACCAAAGATTTAATGAAAGTTTTTACAGAATTCCTGCTGACATGTGCAGAAAGCATGACGGAGTATCACTATTTAACAATCCCTTCTGAAACGATGGCTCTCTAGGCAAAATCCTTAATAGCTGCCAAAATTATCAGGTCAGTGCTTCTCAGTCCTGTCAGTACATCCGAATCACCCAGGACTCTGAAAAAAAATTACTGAACCCACATCCACCCTGGACCAGTTCTTGGAAGTGGTACCTAGGCATCAGAAATGTGTAAAGGCTACACAGATGTTCTAATATGTAATCAGGGCTGAGAACTATTGCATTTCTGTAAAAGGCTGATGGGGACTTTTAGAATGAAGAGACCAGGCTGATGTACGATACCAAAGAGACTCCACTAATCAATCTTACTATCACAAAAAGAGACAGAGAGCTACAATGTGATGTCCCAACACGCAGCAATCAGAAGTTCACAAAGATACCTTTGAGATATTTTTACCAAGTAGTCAAACCTGAATTTAATCAAGCCTCCAGCTCTAATGATCAGTGTATAGGAAATACAGGGAACAGATTTAAACTTGTTAAATGCCACCATGGGGATGCAATCAGCAAAATTGAGAATATGAGAGACTTTTAGAACAAATGATCTGGTTTATTCAACTTTTTAAAACTTGCAAGTGAAAAAAAGGCAAGAAGGAAGGAGAAGCTGTTATAAATTAAAAGAGATGTGAGAGGTTATAGATTACCCAGTGCAGTATGTTGACCTGGTTTGGATCCTAATTCAAACGAACCAACCACAAAGGCATTAAAGAGGCAACTGGAATATTTTAACATGACTGGGTATTTGAAAATATTAAGGAATTATTGCTTACTATTTTGGATGTGGCAAAAGTATTACGGTTTTTTTTTTAAGTACCCACAGCTTTTAGATACATGCTGAACGGTTTAACAACAATGACGCAGGAGGGTTAGGCGGAAAGTGGAGGCTACGTTGATAATTGTTGAAACTGGGTAATTAGGGGTAAATAATGCTTTCTACTTTTGTGTATGTTTTAAATTGTCCATAATTCAAAAAAAGTTTTTTTAACGCAACTACTTAGAACATGTTCAAAAGGATTCTTCCTGGGAAGCTTTTCCAAAAGCTGAAGGCTAACCCCTAAGTTCTGAAGGTCTTTCCTATTTTGATGGAATTTTTTCTAAAATGTGTCTTATACTTATCTTCTGAAGCATAGTAGAGTAAAAATTACCTTAACTTGATTTTTAATAATTTCTTGCATCTTAATGAACGTCATTCACCATTCATTACATCTTATAGATTTAGCTGTAAATGCTGAAATAATGAATAGACAAGCTAGGAATGAGCCTATACTGACTCCGGCAGTGGCCATGAAAATGCTTTCTGGATAAAAGCTTCAAGGTAAAGCAAAATATGTAGAGTTCTGTGACCTCTTACACAGGCAAGTATGGCCACCTGCTTAGAAAATCAGCTAGTGAATTCACCTTTTCTTCATTCAATTGCAAATGTTTACTTAACACCTGCTATCTGCCTGGTGCAGTCTGTGCTAGATTCGCAGACCCAGAAATGAGTAAAAGAAACAAGATCCTGGCTTTTGTAGACACAAGGAATAAATATATAGGCTAGATAATTACACATGGTAACATGTACCATGAAGCACAGAAAAGTGAAGTAACCTGGCCAAGGTCTTTCAGACTCTGAGTGGCAGAGCTAAGATTCAAATCCAGGTCTTTGGTGTTTGGAGCTTTAGGCTTGGTCACAAACTTCCTTCTGGGTTTAGAAACGAGCATTGTAAGTTTGACGGGCAGTGAGAAGGCTAGCCTGCACAGTTCCTTTTTAAAGCAGAACATGCAACAACACAAAGGCAAGTCAATAAAATGAGAGGGCACCCTACTGTATCGGAGAGTAGATTTGAAAATAACATACCTGCTAAGGAGCTGATATCAAAATATATAAAGAACTCATACTACTGAACACCAAATAAATAAATAACCCAATTAAGAAATGGGCTGAGGACCTGAACAGACATTTTCCAAAAAAGACATACAGATAGCAAACAGACATATGACAAGATGCTCAACATCACTGGTCATCAGGGACACACAAATCAAAATCACCGTAAGATATTCCCACACACTAGTCAGGGTGGCCACTACCCAAAAGACAAGAAATAACAAGTGTTGGCAAGTACCTGGAGAAAAGGGGGCCCTGCTACACTGTTGGTAGGAATGTAAATTGGTGCACCACTGTGGAAAGCAATATGGAGATTCATCAAAAAACTGAAAATAGAAATGCCATATATCCCAGTAATTCTGCTTCTGGGAATATACCTGAAGAGAAAAACATTGCTGATTTGAAAAGATACATGCACTATGTTTATTGCCACATTATTTACAGTAGTCAAGATAAGGAAGTAACCTGTGTCCCCAATAGATGAATGGATAAAGAAGATGTGATATATATATACACACACACACACACACACACACACACACACACACACATAGTAATAAAAAGAATGAAACCTTGCTATCTGCAACAACATGGATGGTCCTAGAGGGTAGGTGTTATGTAAAGTCAAATAAGCCAGGCAGAGAAGACAAATATTGTATGATTTCACTTACATGTGGAATCTAAAAAGCAAAACAAACAAAATAGAAATAGACTCATCAACACAGAGAAAAGATTGGTGGCTGCCATGGAGGAGGGGCGTGAAATAGGTAAAGGGGAAAAACAGGCAAAAGATCTCAAATATAAAATAAATTAGTCACAATTTTGAAAGCATAGCATAGGGAATTTTTTAGAAGGGGGTTTGATGGCAGAGGTAGTCTGTAGTGGTCAGGCTGAGTCTGAACTGTATTCTTTGATGAATGGGACCTTAGGGGTCCTTGGCCTAAAACAGGTTAAGAATCCTGGGACCATAGTTCAGAGAGGAATTAGGAAAATTATTACTACAATCATTTCTTTTGGGAATGAAGAACAGATTGTAAGCTTGGATAGTTATCCAGTGGGTCAGCCACAGTGTATTAACCATGCTTCTAGGTTCTGTACACTTACCACTTTAACATCTGTTCTGTATGCCTATGCTGGACACAGCTTGGTCTGGACAAACTGATAATATGCCTGAGTCACCTTGTCTTGGCTGCATGCCCTCCACCCACCCCGGAAAGAGTCCTTCTCCCAGGCATCTGCTTTTCCTTCTCAAATACAAAACAACCAACCTGGAGACCACACCCCCAGCCACTTCCTTTACTATTTCTCACTCTGCCCACTCCATACCTGCCCTAATCAATCCAAGGTCCAGGTGCCGGACAACTAGGGACGGCCCCTATACTCCCAGGCTGCTGAAATTATTCAGACTAGCTAATCCAAAACCTACCTACCCTGTCTTCTCCGTTCCTTCTGGGAGAAGCCACAATAAAAGCTCTTGCCCAGCCACGCCCTCTCTCTCTCTGCCTTGAGATGGATCCCAGCGCCGCCGCCCCTCTTGACCTGCCCTGACAAGACACGTACTCCCTTTTGGGACTGAAGAATATAATACATTATTTTTTCAATGGCAGTCGTCTCCTGATCCATTGCCCTTACCATACCTAAATAATACAGAGCCTATTAAAACACCCAGGACTAGCAGGGAACAATGGACTACTTGATTAAATCTGAGGTTATGTTTTCCTTGGCTGTATGTGGGTCTTCAAACACCTTCTAAGTTCCATGGGGGACAGGAAAAATATCAGTGTGCCATTTTATTACCTCAAATTCTTAAGTTTACCTCAAATTCTTTTGTATGGCTTCAAATTCTTTTGTAGCCATAAATAATTCTCCTCCTTCTTTACCATTCTTTAAAGTACTAACTGATCTTCGTTTCTTCATCTTCTAATTTCTTACAGGCTGTTTAGAGGCTTTTCAATATAATAGCTCTGAGACAGGTGTCAGTGAATTACTGGATTATTAATTTTGTGTAATATATTATCAGTAGTTGCCATATACACAGTTCTTCCATGTATTTAAAAAAAAAAAGGTGTATTTCTTTTAAATGGCACATTCCAGAACATTTATAATATGGTAGAATGGTTAGGAACATAGGTTTTGAGGTCATTCTTCAAATGGTATGACGTGCTACAGCTCCTTTAGTTGTATATGGAATAGGTGACTGACCTGTTCCATGGGTCAAAGGATCTTCTCTAAGAGAGCTGAAATCTGAAGAATAATCATCAAGTTCACTAGGGAGAGGAAGGTCGAAAAGAAACTTCTAGTCAGAGTGAACAGCGAAGGTCTCAGGGTAGAAGGCAGCATGATTTGGTCAAGGTAGGAAAATTGGCATGTGGTAAGAATGGAAAGCCAGGCAGGGGCCAGATCACACAGTCTTAGAGCTCATTCTAAGGTATATG